TATGTAATAAATACACGCAAACACGCACGCACGCACGCACACTAACACGCAAACACACGCACGCACACGCACACACATTGGTCCTTGGAAAGTTTTACACTATAAATTTAACTTTATTAACATTTTCTCTCAGATACGTGGCATGATTTATTCGCAGCGTTCTCGTCATAGTTCAACGAACCACACTTTTGGATTAAATACATAAATAATATTTTTCCTCAAAAATTCCTAAAAATTATATTGATTTATAAATTGAAAAATTTAATAAAACTTTTCACGAACGCGTGAATTGTAAAAACGAGAGATGAACGTGCCGGGGGCGTAGAGTAAGAAAGTTAAACGTAGAAACGATCCGTTGAACGATTTATAACACAGTGGGATATACCGGCAATAAATTTTGAAGCGCTCATGCCAAGGAATATGCCGGGACATGTTCTCAAAACTTCACACTCTGTTTTTTAAAGGCCAATTACGAATTTAAGACGAAAGAAAATGTGTCGTGTGTTTAAATGTTTATTTTATTCATCTCCAGTTTTGATTATCGTTTAATTCTAAAATTTCTGGTTGTCTAGCTTTTATGATTTAATATTCGAAGTTTAGCACTCCAAGCTTGAAAACTTATTTATTATTCTTCAACGTTTTATGTGTAATAATGTTACATCAGTCAATCACAATAACTATAATCAGTTGAATAGAAGTTTCAAAAATATTTTTCAATAAAAGTTTGCGTTTTCATTTAGATTAAGTTTCGAGTTTTAAAGTTAGTAGGGGTGTCTGTATGCAAAGGGCATTTAGTGCACGTCAAATGCTGCCCTACCCATTGAAAAAATGTCAGATAATCTAGTGTGGTGAATGAGAACAGTTTCTAAAATAAATTACGTGTTTGTTGTTTGGTAATATGAGGAAGTTTTTCTCACTATTAATAAACTCTACGATAATTTATTAAAAAAATAAGCGTTCAATAAAATTATAAAATTAAACTACAATTATAATAAAATTTATTAAACTAAACTACAAATCGGACCAAAAAACCCAAAGATTAAATCTAAATCATGGACTAAGTAAAACATTTTCAAACTTATTTCAAATAGAAACAATTAAAGCATAAAGTAGTAATAATTTATATAAGACATAATTTATTAAGACTCTCTTTCCAACAACAGACACACATTGTATGTAAGAGATGTATATAAGTAAAACAACGCGTCAAACACAAAGCACGCGAAAGGCGCGGATTCTTTTGCAGTCGAACTCAGTCAGTGCAACAGCCGTGCCAGGCACTTTACCGCTACACCATTGCGGCATCCGTTACATCAATTTCTATAACCACAGAAGCAATAATAACAATAACAATGTTAATAACAACAACAATAGTATTAATGGACTCCGTGAACCCATAACGAAAATTGCGAAAAAATGTTTTTTGTTTGAACTGCACGACGAATGTAGCTTTCTAAGTTTCCTCTATATAGATCACTGCATTTTGAGAATGAGCTCATTAAAAGATGTAATTTTATTTAACCCTATTCTTCATTTTTTCGTTTTAAAATTAATATAAAATTATCAAATAAAATTATCAACATTACTTCTAACTCTTTTGCCATAATATTACTATGAGTATATTGCAAAGACTTTTGATGCATGCGCTATTAAACTAATAATTTTGCTAAAAAATATACTGCATTTATATGCCTAGAATGATCGAGTTTTACAGTTTTTTGTAAAAATCACTGAAACTTCTGTAAGATATGTGGTTAGTATTATTACAGAAAATAAGATCACATACAAAGTTGACGAGAAAAATAACAAGAAAACATTAACAGCAAACATTGACTGTCCTAAAAACATTATTTATTACATTAATTATTATTAACACATCGTACGCCAGAGTTACAACTCTGATGATGACCCCACCACTTAATGGCAAACATCGTGACGACTGTGCGTGCGAGATAAAAAATTTTTTTTAGTATATGTAGGTTTTGTATTGTTTGTGTATCTACTTGTTTTGAAGCCTGTGACTTCTTTCATTGATCAAACATTTTTTTAAATCGTTAAAACGTTTAAAAAATCTAAGCGATAATTACGTTTTGATTTTGGTGGGCTTGAAGTATAATATGACTTGATTATACTTGTTTTTCAACATTTTTTTAAATAATTTCGTCTCCGGAAGTGTTTAAAATTTGAAAAGATGAGATTTTTTTTAATTCAACTATATTTCAGTTTCGTGTTTCTTATAACTATGCGTACGTAATGAGACAAAATGGTTTATGATAGTTGTAAAACATGTTGCCAGAGACTCATAATTAGAATAAATATTATTAATAATAATATTAATATTATGATATAACGGCCTTCGCTCACTATTAATGGTCGAACAAGGAGCTTACTTCCGGAGGGATTTGGAGGGTGATTTTTTATCTTTCGAGTCAAAAGTTTTGATCGTGTATTTGCTTATTTCGGAATATTGCTTTTATTTAAAATGTTAAAATTTTAATTTATTTTAATTGTTATTCAATGGTGGTAATTAATTATTTTTATTTGGTATAAATTTAAAAAAAATAAAATCGACATTACCGAAAATTATTAAAAGTTGAAAAAATTGAGGTCCTTTGCATATCCCTGCTTCAACCCATAAGAAAGTGTTGTATGTTGGTAAATAGGCCTCCCCTTGTTACCAGACGCATTATACGATCATCCTCTACAACATCAACTTACCATTGTCAGTCGTAACACATACGTCAATATAACCAAGCAAATTAAATTCAAAGCATGCAATGTATCAACAGTCATAGTAATAATAGATGGTTATATCATTTGGTCTTTGTTATTCTGCTGTTGTTCTTACATAATTTATTGTATTTTTTTTTATCAGTCTTTATTTATGCAGCTCTGACATACGCAGAACCACTTACAATGTTACAGATATATTATCTATATATCTTTATTATGTATTTTACCAACAATGAGTTGCACCACTAAACACTCCGCCATTAAGCGTAAGCTCTTAATGGCAAATAATAATAACATTTCGTGAGTCATAAACCGCATAAGATAACAGCAGTAGATCCGGCAAAGGCATCCTACCAGCAAAAATGCTTAACAAAAAGTACTGGTTCCATCACAGTTAACATGCTGTGGAGAAAGAAGTTCAGCGGTACGCGTGTCGGACAGACATTTAAAAGTTGAAAGAAAGCAGTCACCGATATGTTAGACCTTTCTACAGCACCTCTCTGGTTACTCCAGTCTTCATCACGTACTTCAGGTTTGATGTTCTAATTTAAATGTAGATAGTTAGATGCATGAAAAAAATAATCAATTATCTTGAGGGAATGATTTTATTGAAACTTTTACGGCCTCAGAGTGCAATATCAAGTAATAAATTTCACAAAAACTCAATTTTTATTGATTATCAAATACAATATTTATTGACAAATTTGCAAACAATTTAGTTCAAGACAAGAGAAGTTGCTTGAACCCACAAAAGCTGATGACCTCAAAAAAATTTTTCGTATTTCATTTTTTCGTTTTAGTGAAAGGCATAAGCAATAAAAATAAGCTATTGAATTGTTCAATACTGAACGCATATTTTTATTACTCTCTATATTATAATAAATTGCTAAATAATTATTTTAAATACATCTAAACATGTTCATATTTTTATAAACATTTAATTTATAGTTAATGTTTGTGTGTATGGAAGAAAAGCTGATGGTAGTCTCTAGCTACTAGTAGGATAGCAAACGTTTTGGAAGCATAGTAAATTTTAAATCTGTGGCATATTTTAACATTAGTGGCCGCATTTTTAATACACGGTTTTTGATTTTGTGTCAAAGAACGCGAAAAATTTTCACCAGATTTCATAGTTTTCAAATCATCAAATTATCAAAACGATTTGTTCTTATAATGAAATGAAATATTTATAAAATGCAACACGTTATAACAGTATAAGAGCTAATAAAAAAGCTTCAAACTAATGTTTGTTTTGTGCAAATAAAATTGTGAACTCATTTTGAACAAGCGATATAAAAAAATATAGCTAAATTTGTTTAATGTATAAAGTGAAATTGATAAAATGTTTAAAAACAAATCGCAAATTGTTTAATCACGTTTTCAAAAATTTCATTGTGAACGAAACAAAAAATATCAAAAAAATTTTTCGACTCTCAAACGTTTTCAAGAAAAATTAATTCAATTATTAATTAAACATTTAAAACTGTCAAATGGCACGTTCTAGTTTACTTGTTGCATTTGGTAATCATTGCCGCTGGTCTATATAGATGGTTGCTTACCACTAGACACAGATTATTATTATTATTATTATTATTATTATTAACGGGGTTTAAAGTGGTTCAGAAGATAATGGTCTGTGTAAGAACCACTATCTTTTCATCACTATCTATCACTATCTATCAGATATCTTTTTAAAAAACCGCTTTTGAGTAACAGAGAAAGAAATTCCATTTTGAATACTTTCTTGACTTGGCAAAAAAACCCAACTTCAGCCTCTGAAAAATACTACCGCAACTCCTGTTAAAACTTTTGAGTGAAGACTCCGACAACCCTCCGTAGAAAAATATTTTGTAAATGCTGAACGTCGTTCATCTGGAAACGTCTCTGTTTTTTTCTAAACTTGGTGAACAAAGTTCTCATCAGAGTTTATAATAGTAGTTGGCATTCATATTTTGCTTAGTCACATTTGTTTGAGTTTTGTGGCTTAATGTACGGCTGACAAAACTTTCATTTTAAAGACAGTTTTTAAGCAAAAAATCATATTCAACAACTTGTGATCATTTGCTCAGAATTTTATTCTTCAAATATTAACTAAATCAATTTATGTAATTCAAACTAAATATCAAAATCATTATATATCTAACAAAATTAATTCAAAAAACAATTTTGAAATTAAAAAAAATTGTTCAAATTTTTAATCAAAATTTGGAAAAACCGAAAAATCTGTTTTAAGTGATATACTGATGAAACTATAAACATTGGCAGGTTCACATTTTAAACAACCTTCCCATGAACAAAATAGAGCCAATGGCATTATCTTTGATGTAGAAGATGAACGGATGGTCAGCCTTAAATTTTATTTTAATTTTTGCACTTCTGAACGAGATGACCACTCCAGTAGAAGCTGCTGCTTCTGATCCTTTTTCGTTGACTTCAATGAATGCCTTGTGCAACAATTTAGAAACAAACAAGTTTCTTTCTCCAGTCATTTTCGACAAATCTGTTCTACTCTCTGAAAAGAGGTCGACAATGCCCATCTTCATCAAACTCTCCATTGCGTTTGATTTTTTCTCTATTTTGAATTTCGGCAACCAAATTTCTACATCCATTCTCCAAATGTTTTCGTCGACAGTTGAGAAAAAATTTTTGTCCATGCTGCTTTCAACAGCTTCCAAAGTAGTTTCTTTTAAATTTGGTAAGACGACTACAAAACTCATCGAATCGCCTTTGTATGGCAGCTCCAAAATCTGACAATTCAATTCATTGTTATACATATATTTTGCATTAAGTTTTGGCAGGTGCATAAAAGAAACATCTGAAAACGTTCTAAGCGGTGTGACAAAAACACCCTTCTGTGTTTCACTCTGATCAAATTGTGTTTTCCACGTTCCTTTGAAATAAACTGCATTTACAATAACAAGTCTTGTCAAAGCATCCAGCAAACCAGCAGGCAGCAGGTCTCTGATCTTCTGATGTGTTTGCTTCTCTACCCAACTGTTTATCATTGACCTTATTCCATCTGCATTGTTCCTGTAAAATTGCATACTAACAATGTGGACGAACTTACTCTGCATTCATTTGATTTTTACTTCATATCGTAAGAACTAACTATAAACGATTAATGTTAGTTTATTCATAAAATTGCAAAAATTTTTTAAATTTATACACATACATATTTTAATATAAAACTAAATATATTATGTATATATTCATTAGTTTAATATCATACAAAGATTTTTTACATGTTGGGCTCATATTTTAAACGCCTCCCGATATGTAAATGATTTTACTAGTGATAATTTGAAAAAACTAATTTATGTTAAAATCAAATTTTGAAGAACATTAAGCTAAGCTTATTTTTAATTTATTTCTATGATAAACAGTTATTTAGTGTTCAAGTCGGTTGACAGCATTATACGCACACGCCACTAGGTGCTGACCGATCTTGCCTTTTTAAATTCATATCATATAATATAAAAAGCTGAAGTCAAAAAATTTAGCCAACAACTAAATCGAAATACTCACAAGAAATCAACAGGTTGCAAGCCAGCTCCATAATATTTCTCGCTCTCTTAAGAAATTCTGACAAAAATTTGGCTGATTTTTCTCCAAACAGCTTGTTTGCTATATTCAGTTCATAATTTCCTTCCGTTTGTTGAAGGTTGCGCATCAAATCTGCAAAGCCTTGGTGCAACTGGTCATTTGGAAACTGATCCAGTTTGAGAACTGATTTCATTTCAGCCTCAGTATTTTCTGAAAACGACAATTAAAACATTAAACGTTGTTGATGAAAGAATATTCAAACTAAAGAACTACGTTTGGCTCCGAGCAAAGTGACCGCAAGGGCAAAGAGGAGACTGACGGGAGAAAAAAAAACATTCTCACCGGCGCTTTCAGAAGCTAATTTCTGATACAAATTAACTCCGAATTCAGCGTTGGAAGAGCCGAGTTCTTGAAGGTTCATTGTTCTGTATAATGTCTTGTTAGAGTTTGCTGTTTAACCGATTCACTTTTATAAGCAAATTTTATATAAAAAAATGATTCTAAATGTGTTGATCTCACCGATACTCAATATTTAGTTATTGCGCCGTTGATTTTTAAATGTTAAGCATGAAAACTAAAAAATTTCAATTGTCAGGTAGAAAAAGAGATCTACCAAACTCTAAATAAACCAATCAACATATGTTGCTGAATTGAGGATCGTTCAATAGTTGATATTAATGCTATGCTGCAAACCAATCTGCTTTCTATTTAAATGAATCATAGTTCGTTTATGATAATGTCAAATATTGATTGCCTACCGCTACATGGCTGCATTGTAAACGCGAATTGTAAAGTTATGATCATTTTTTTCTAAAAATTTTTGTTTATATAAAAAATTGGCAAACTTTTAAAGCTTTTTTATTCACTGGATTTATAATCATCATATTTGACATTTGATATTTTTAAAAGTTCGATTCTAACTACACTTTATGGGATACTTATTATTCCGTATTTTACAATTTCTTCTTAAATATTCATGAATGAAGCCCTTTTGAAATTTCAAGTTTAGATGTTAAAAATATTCTTCATTCTGAGAATGTGTGTAATGTGTGTAATTTTGTAATATGAAACATGATTTGCTGTTTATAACAAGTGTAAGAAAATAATAATTACTTCACGACGTAAAAATATTGGACGATTTTGTGATACGCAAATAGACAAAATGTCTTTAACTAAAAGCACTTTTTCTTTCTTATTTACATTTTGCATTGTTTTATTCTGAAAAATCTTTTCAGAAATAACCAATCTTTATTCAAAATGAATGTAAAATCTTACGGGCACATCTCATTCCGAAATTAAGGTCTATAAAGAAAACACACGTTTCGATATGATGATCAGTGCTCGTAATAACTCTTTGTTAGTAAAATATTTTCAAAATTTGTTAAACTCAACTCATAGTAGATCTGGACAAAGCGGGGATGCATCCCCACCAGACAATTGAATAGAAAAATATTGAAGATTCTGTGTCAAATATAGTAATAAATGAAACGGATGTTGTCGAAAGAAGGTCGTCAGCTTAAGTTTGAAAATTATCTTTCTCATCGAAACTGGAATAAACAAGAATTACGGCAACTAGCAAAAAAAAGTCATCTAATTTAGATTTTTGAAATCATTCACCCCGACCGCCACATTTTGGATCTGCCACTGAACTCAATTTACATGCAAATTGTTAGGGATAAATAAAAAATTTTTGGTTCAGACAAAATTTTTTTTCCTAATTGGTTAAAATCAATTTCATTTTTTCCATTTTAATTAAAAAACTTACAAAAAACAGATTTGTATGTATGAATGTTTTCTTTTATTTTTAAGAAATAATTTTTTTAAATTATTAAGACTTGATGATTCTCAAAGCTCAAAAACTGAATTAAAGATGTGACAATCTTCCAAGAAACAAGACACTAGCAGATTTGTTGTCTTTAATGTAGAATATGAAAGGATGGTCGACTCTGAAGTGAACAAGATTTTTATAGCCACTCCTGACGCTGATAACCTTCCCAGTTGCAGCAGCAGCTTCCGAACCTTCCTCGTTAACTTCTATAAAGGCTTTGTGCAACAAATCAGAAACGTACAAATTCTTTTTCCCATTCATTTTAGAAAGATCAGCTTTATTTTCCGAAAATAAATCGTTCAAACCCAAACTTTTTAAATGCTCTAACACGTCTGATTTTTTTTCGATTCTAAATTTCGGCAACCAAATTTCGACCAATTTTTTGTACAGATTTTGTTCGATGGTTGAGAAAACATCACCATTCAATTTCCTCTCTACAGATTCCAAACTGGTCACTTCTAAAAGTGGTAGAATAATGACAAGACTCATTGATTCGCCTTTATAAGGAAGTTCCAAAACTTGGCTTTTCAACATTTCGTAATAAAAGTATTTTGCTTCAAACTTGGGAATGTGCATAAAATGAACATTTGGAATGGAAGTGAACGGAGTTATAAAACTGCCTAACTCTGTTTCGTTTTCATCAAATTGTGTTTTCCATGTTCCTTTAAAATAAATTGCATTTACTATCACAAGCTTCGTCAGAGACTCTAGTGTACCACTCGGAATCAAGTTTTGGATTTTGTGCTGCGTCTTCGCTTCTACCCAATCGTTTATTTTTGACCTGATTTCATCCGCATCGTGTCTGAAAGATTTGTGAGCAAATTTTTCAATTAATTTTCAAAGTTTTTGTTTTAAATCTAAATTATTTTTTTAATTCAGTTTAATAAATTGTTATTAATTATTATTAAATATGTAAAATTCTAACTGACATAAAATCAACAGCTTCCAAACCAGCTCCATAAAACTGTATGCTTTCTTTTATAAATGTTGATAAAAACTCAGCAGACTGTTCTCCGTACAGCTTATTTGCTAAATTCAGAGTGTAATCTCCATTAACACTTTGAAGATGTTTCATCAGTTCAGCAATTCCTTGGTGTATCTGCACGCTATGGAATTGCTCCAATTTTAAAACTGATTTTATTTCTGTCTCAGTTTTTTCTTCATAAAAGTAAAAAAACTATCTAATGCAATGAGAAGCCATAGTAAATACAAATTGTAAAAAAAACCTTTTGCTCCTAGCAAGGTGATGGCAAGAGCGAATAGAAGGCTGATCGGGGAGAAGAAGAGATTTTCATCGGGAGTTGCTGTTGCTAGCTTCTGGTATAAATTAACTCCAAATTCTGCATTTGAGGAGCCAATGTTCCGTATGTCCATTTTCCCTCCTAGTGTCTCTCTCCTTATGTTAAGTTTTGTGGCTGCCTTCCTTTCATTAAACTACAAAATGAGAATTGTTTAAAATCTATTATAATAACATCAACTTTTTTGATGTTACCGCTACCACTCCAAAGTTTAAGAGCTGTTGACTGAAAGCGTTCGTAAAAATATGCACGAGTGTTTTTCGATACAATTTGTTCGCTGTGAAAGGCATGCTAATTTTCTGCATACCTGTGGATATGAATTTATTGATATTTTAAAAATTTATTAGACATTTCAGCTATTGGATTTTTTGATTTTAACATTGATTTCAACAAAATTGTTGTTAAATTTTAGTTTGCTTAATTCGTATTCTTACAGATATATTTCTACCTTGTTAAATTTCTAAAAATTAAATTTTTTCATTTCTTTTCTGTTTTTTAACCCTCATTGTAAAATTTAGAAACGACATTTTATTGCAAATAAAAATAAATTATTTATCTTATATCATATTATATTATCTCACTAGCATATTGTCTGTGATGATAAGTAAATCGTTGTTTCTCTAAACGTTTAAAGAATGCTAACTTTGAAACAAACAAAAAATGCTTAATTTATTTGATAATATTTGGTCAAACATTTTACGGTTTGAAACATTTAGGTATTAGGAAAATCAACTTGAATACGTAAAAGTACGTCACAAGCATTTGTACAATTGGTAAAATTGCCTATCGTTCTCAAAAGTTTATTTAAATCTGCGTCAAACATAAAATATGATCGCTATGGAGTAATTTGTTTAGTTAGTATGGCTACAAAATGCCTCTAAAAAATATTTTACAAAGATTTAGCCAAGCAGTGGGAGCTCGGAGGTTGAAGCCCTCTGCTATGAAAAATTTAGCTAGAGTTAAGGCGAATGAACAAAATCTCCATAAAAATTTCGGCGCTCCTTCCCCCAGCAATAACATACATTTTGTAACCAACCCAGAATTTATGCTGGAAGGATGACTTTAAAATTTTTAAAATGACGACATTTGTCTTTTCTAACTCTCAAAAGTTCATCTTTTTCCTGTTTAAAATTTTTCAGGTTATTGAGACTTTTTTTTATTGTTAATGAAGTTAAATATTGAATCTCATATTTGGTATTTGTATTTCAAGCTAAGTCTAAAAAACGATCATAAAAAATACTTTTTGGTATAAAGAAAAAATAAATTTTCAAGTTCTTAATCGTTTCCGGAGTTTTATGATTAAAACAACTCGACTCCTACAACTATTTAACGTTTCTATTGAAGAAAATTAACTCTTAAAAATCTTCAACGTATCTTCATTATAATCAGTAAGCAGAAAACAATCAGTAAAAGCACTAGGGAGTGCGTAGATTTTCATTTTTGAACGTGTGAATATTTCATCCATATCTATTGAACATATCAAAACTCTATGGAAACAAATGGAATTAAATAGAATCAAAAACATCTGAATTGTTATTTTGGCTTAAATGCATGTTTAAATAAATAATACCATGTTTGCAACTTCACCCGGATCCTTAGTCTTACTAGAAGTAAATTTGTAGTCTTTCAAAAGGGCGTGAATCATATGTCAATTTACCAACATTTCAATGATTTGATTCGAAAAAATTATCTAATTATTCTTTTTATCAAATTTGGCTATAGTTTAGTTATTTATAATTTTTTGTTTACCTTTCTTTCATTGAAGTGTTTCAAACCGATGGCAAATTCAGGGAGGGACCAGGTATTTTTTGGCCACACCAGCAAAAATTTGACTGTTTTTGGCTCCCACGTCAAACTTTAAATTTCCCCCCCCCCTTGCGTAAACGTTGTTCAAATCCGCCCCTGAATATAACTTTGTAACATTTGAGTAGTAAAAGTTCTGTTTCGTTTCCTTTCGTTTCAATACATAAGGACAGTAAGTGTATATGCCAAAGTGAATAAGTAGAATTGGAATTTAATGATGCTTCTATTTAGTAGTTTGTTTTTATTTGTAGATAGGTATTCGTAATATAGATAAATTTGCAAAAATCATCTTAAACTGTTAGCACCTAGACTGTGGCTTTCAATAGGGTAAGTCTAAAAGTTGTGTGACAAAGGGAGTTGAATTTTGTAACAGTTTGTGACAGCGGGCAGGTATGTGAGCTAAACAACGCAAAAAGAAGCATATAATACCTTTAATGAAAAATATTTTAAAAACATCAGAGTTGAGTTTTATTAAACATTATTAGGTATAAAATTTCAAATTTTTACAAGTATAATTTTTTTACCGTTCAGTTACCTTTTTTAAGTTTATCTCATTAAATTTTTAAATTCAATTCATACCAACTTTACCAATTTTATTAAACGTAAAATCAGTAAAAATCAACTTGAATACGTAAAAGTACGTCTTTAAAAATGTACCATCAGATTAACGGTAGCATACAAGGAAAGACAAGGAAGGGGCCACACGGAAACGCAAACCCCCTTTAACAATTACCAAATTTATCACTTCTTTATTACAGCAGTCATCGGTTTAAGGGATTTTTAGAAAATCGCGAAATCACACAAATAACTTTTCTGAGAAAATAAGAATATCACTTTTTAATATTCGTTTAATTTATTTGAATCGTTTTATCTATAAGTATAAGCTTACTGTAACTGCTTTTATCTAGCTATGGAAAAAAAATTACGACAAAGTGACTGGTAATTGTAATGGAAGCCAGCTGGCTTAAGCTGGTTCCAGCCCACAACATATTAAAAAAAATTCACTCTTTGGCTTAGATAACATTTATTTCAATTGCTAATTATTACTTATTAGTTTGATAACGAAAATTATATTAAAATAATTTAAAAATTTTGTAACGATTGGTACATTTAAGAAATAATTTTTTTGCAGTTAGAATAATTTTCAAAAATTCACAATAAGTCAACGACATTATGAGGATATAATTTTAATTTTATTGTTTATTCATCGACTGTGATCGTTTGATGTAAAAAAAAAATTTTGTTATAATTTGTTAAATATTCAATCAGAAATTTGTTGAAAAGACTCATAGCGGAACACTTTGATGACAAGTTTCTGGGGATGGCTACAAGTTGGATATTCTTCCCAGGAACAACACGGATCCTGACCCGCGATCCTTAATGTAGAAAATGAACGGGTGGTCTGCTTTGAAGTTGACGGCACGATGTTCGTGGCCAACACTTGTTATCCGGATATCCACTACCAAGGCCGTAGCTGCAGCAGCTTCTGCTCCTTCTTCATTTATTTCAACAAAAGCTTTGTGCAACACGTCAGAAACATACAGTGTTTTGTTTCCATTCATTTTCGACAAATCTGCTATATTGGGTAAAAATAAATCCTTTAATCCCATTTTACATAAAATATTATTAGCATCCGTTCTCTTTTCTAGTATAAATTTTGGCAACCAGACATTGACTTCGTTTTTAGTTAACAATTTGTTAATTGTAGCAAAAACCTTCCCATTTAATTTTTTTTCAACGTTTTCTAAACTGGTTTTTCGTAAGTTGGGTAGAATGACCACAAAACTTAGTGATTCGCCTTTGTATGGAAGTTCCAAAACTTGACTGTCCAATTCATTGCAATAGAAGTAGTTTGTCGACAATCGACTAATGAACATGAATGGCACTTGTGAAACAGTTTGAGGAGAGGCATAAAATGTATCAATCTTTGTAGAATTCTTCAAAAATTGCGTTTTCCACGTTCCCTTAAAATAAATTGCATTCACAATTACAAGCCTCGTGCCAGCGCTTATTACATTTTTAGGAATCAATTCTTTAATTTTCTGTTTTGTTTGATTTTCAACCCATTCGTTTATTATTTTAGTGACATTTTCGGCATTTAATCTGAAACATTGTTTTATTTGAAGAAACATTATGAAATATTTAGTAAAAATTGATAAAACAATTTTTCAAATCACATTACAATCAAATGAGGTCTGAACAGACATTTTGTACTTACAAAAAACTGACAGGTTCTAAACCGGATCCATAATATTTTTTACTCTCTTCAAGAAAATCTGACAAAAAATTTTCCGTTTCTTCTCCATACAACTTGTTGGCAATGTTGAGTTCATAGTTTCCATCCGATTGTTGAAGGTGCCTCATCAGGTCAGCAAACCTACTGTGCACTTCTCCATGTGCGAACTGGTCCAACTTTAAGACCGATTTTAGCTGAGCTTCGGTTTTTTCTTAATTATTATTATTAAATAAATTTATTTTCAATGAATGAATGATTAGGTGTTAAAATTCCCAAAATGAACCTTTAGCTCCAAGCAAAGTGACTGCGAGAGCGAAGATCAGACTGATCGGTGAAAAAAAGAGGTTTTCCCCAGGCTTATCAGCTGCCAGCCTCTGATACAGATCGACCCCAAACTCCACGTTCGATGTGCCTAATGCTTGCAGATCCATGTTTGTTTTAACACTCCTGGTTTGTCAGTGGGATCATAGGTGGTTTTATAGCAAATAATGTGGAATTTTCATTCAAGTCGAGTACCGTTGATCTCATCGACAAACATTCTTTGTGGAAATTTTCAAATTTTGAATGAATTGATAAAGGATTGTAATTTTTTTGTCACAATGTTGAAGAGGTAAACGTTTTTGCTAAAAATTAGTGTGAAAGTTCATGATATTGGTGTTACATTTTACTACCGACTGTATGGCGGTATTTCATTGAAAGGCTCTCCAAATAAAACGTTATTAATATGAATTTTAAAAATGTCAGAAATGAGAAATTTAACATTTCACGAATCTCATTTAAATGCTCTTCAAAATTACGGCACTGGACATATTTGGGGTAATGAATTAAATTTCTGTTTATTTTAAATATTTAATGTCCTCGATAAATACATTTATTTTAATAAAATTTTGTTTAAACTATAATTAATAAAATCATTTCTTCTTGTTTCCATCAAAATTGTGAGCAAGTAATAAAAGTAATTAAAAATTATTAATATGGTTGGTAAAAATTTATAATAATAATAATAACAAAGTTTAAAGTGGTCCGGTAGATTAGCATCTGTGTAAGAACTACTGCGAAATAAATGTCCTATTATCCTAGCTCTCCTAGCTTGATTTAAAAATTTTTGATTGAATTTAATGAAACCATCTGTAACAGCTCGTTCCAGGCGTTTACCACCCTGCCGCTGATAAATCTTTGCTTTATTAGATTTTCTGTCTTTTTGAAGAGCTTGTATCTATGACCTTTTAATACATTTCTTTTTTTAGTTGAAAGAAGCTGATGAACGGTGTTTCTTCTTTTCCAGTTATTAACTTTATGTCCAAATTAAATCTCCTCTGTATCTTTTTTTTTCAAGTGTTGTTAATCCGCATTTTTTTAGTCTATCCCTATATTCTAGTTTTTCTGACTTCTTCGATCATCTTTGTTGCTCTGCACTGTACCCGTTTAAAAATGTTTTTGTCCTTTTGCAGGCCTGGACTCCAAACCTGTGAACAGTAATCGAGATGAGAGCGAGATATTATACAAGTTTATAATAATCGACGACCCACCACCGTTCATCTAATAAATCCAACTATTTGATTTGCTTTGGTTGCTGCCAAATTACATTGTTTCATGTTTTTGTGCTTTTATGAATAGTGATTCTAAAGTTTTTATTTCTTCTTTAGATCAAAGGTCCTTACTGACCAGTTGAGTTTGAAAGCCTTTGTTTTGTCTTCTCCTATGCATAACTTTACGTTTGTCTATATTAAAAAGCATTTGCCAATCTTCAGACCATTGGTATTGTCTTGTCAAATCTTGTCTTAGTATTTCCGCATTTTCCTCGTTGTTGACTCTTGCAAACAGATTCGTGTTGTCCGAAAATTTTGTTATTTTTGACATTATACCAGAGTCAATATCATTAATGCACATAACTAATTGTAGAGAGCCCAGCAACGAACTTTGTAGTAAGTTTTGACGAGTCGTCAAAAATGATTATATTATAATGCATAATCCTTTTGTAGCTCTTTCGATTAAATCGTAGAATCTTTTGTCATTCTATTTAACAGAATCAGTAGTTTGATTGCAAATTCCAACTACCAGGATTTCGTTTTTGTTTTTTTATTTGACACCATACGTTCTTTTAGAATTTGTTGTCTCTTAAGTCCATTCTTTCAACAGCTGTTGAGTTGTCTTTTATATATAGTAATACTTCACTACCCTGCTCTCTTCCTCCATAATTATCTATGTCCTCCCTGAACATGGTGTAATCATTTAATTCGAGTTCGTTGTTCTCCATGGAACTTTTGCTTTGGTCTCTGTTACACCAATGATGTCAGGTTTTTTCATGTATATATTCTGCTCAAGATCTGTTCTTTTATCTATGTTTACTACACTTCATGCGTTTACATAAAAGTATTTCAACCTACTTATAATTTTACTTTGCTCTCTTGATGTTTTTTTTTATTTTGATTAATTAGTGCTTCTTCATCTTTACTATCTTCATGGTTTCGAGTTACCCCCTCACCCTGAATATCCACTTCCCCGTTTTTGCAGAGTTTCCTTTCTTTTTGTGTCATGCCGTGCGTCACAGAAATTTTTTTGTATTTATCTTCATCTTGTCGAACATAAGACAAATTTTCCAGTACCATATTCTTTGTTTTTCTTTCTCAAAACTCGATTAATAACGGTCTTTCAATGTTCGTAGCTTTACCTAGTCTTAATATTTGATTGATATCTTTGTCTTCACAAAGTACTTTTAACACTTTGTTTATCAGTGCTAGTTTAGTTTTTTTATCTTCACCATTCCTTTTTTCCTCTTCAATTGTAGGAGATTCAATCAATCAATAAATGATCACATTGTTCTCTTTTAATTCTTTCTGCTTTTCTTCTTCTTTGTTTATTTTCATCTTCTCTTCTAATTTTTGGTATTTTCATTCAGCGTTTTCATTTCTTTCTCAATCTTTTTATTGACTATTGTATTCTACATTTCTTTTTCCATCTACTTTTTTGTTTATTATTTCTTCCTCTGTCGATTTTTTTTTCTGGAACTTCGTTTTCATTCCCTGTAGACGATTTTTCTGTTCGTCGTTTCTTAATAGTTCCATTTTCTTCTTTAGTTTTTTCTTTTCAACTACCAGTTTTATAACGCTTTGTTATAGTTCTACCACGCTTCGTGAGATCTTTCTACACCACTCATGTAGCTTCTTGGAGGCGACCAAATGACCAAGATTTGGCCAATTTTCTGGGAGTAAGAATTCCATTTTACCAAAGTGAGTAAAGAATTTTTTATTTTTCTTGTTTGTTGTCGAAAGAAATGAAAATGTTCACGTCCACGTGTTGAGCGATAATGATATATTGATGAGTTACTCACTTGACTTTAGTGTTTGATCGAAAATATGTAGATGAATCTTTCTTCGACAAAAATTGACCTCTATTTGTCAAAAATATTTTTTATTTTTATTTGAACTGTAATCAATTCTATATTTTTATGGTATCTTTGAATTAATGTTATTAATATTAATGATTTTTAACAAATTAATTCTAATTAATTCTCGAAGGTTTAAACAACAGTAAACAAAAATGGTTTCAGATACTCGTGATTCAATGCATTTAAGACATTGCAAGTTAATGGACCAACAGAATGCAACAACGGAACATTCACTTAAACCATCATAGAATCTTGCCTTATTTATAATATTATAGCTATAATTTTTTTTAAATTTAAATTCATAAATGCTTTATAAAACATGTATTTTATTTATTTGGATTGTAATTTTAAAATAATAACTTAACGTTATAAAGTTATCAAAAATCATATTTAACCATTTTTTAAATCATTCATCAAAGTCATTATTATGCACAAATTTAAAAAGTTATTACAAGTTGGATAATCTGCCCAAGAACAAAATTGAGCCAGACTTGTTGTCCTTAATGTAGAATATGAAGGGATGGTCAGCCTTGAAATCAACCACTTCTCTTCTACCAGGAGCACTCGTAAGCTCGATGATGACTGCAGTGGCAGCGGCAGCTTCTGATCCTTCCTCATCAACGCCGATGAAAGCTTTATGTAGCAACTTTGAAACGTGCAAGTTTTTCCTACCGTTCATTTTGGACAGATCTGCACTACCGGAAAATAAATCTTTTATTCCGAGACTTTTCAAATGTCCCAAGACGTTTGATTCTCTTTCTACTTTAAATTTAGGCAGCCAGACGTTAACTTTTTTTCCCCACATTAAATTTTCTTCAATAGTGGAAAACACTTTTCTATTTAATTTTTGTTCCACAATTTCCAAACTAGTTTTTTGTAAATCAGGCAAAATCACTACAAAACTCTGTTGATAACCTTTGTATGGTAGTTCCAAAACCTGGCAGTTTAAATCTTCGTAATAAAAATAATTTGTATCCAACTTGGGAAGGAACATGAACTGGGCATCTGAAATTATTTTTGAGGCAGAAAGGAACTTGCCAGTTTTTGTGTTACTTTTGTCGAACTGAGTTTTCCAAGCGCCTTTAAAATAAATGGCATTCACAATAACTAGTTTGGTCATAGCGTCCAAAGCGCCAGGAGGTATGAGGTTCTTGATTTTCTCTTTCGTTTGTGCTTCCACCCATTTGTTTATTATTGATATAACACCATTTGAATTGCCCCTGAAAAAAAAACAAATTAAAAAAGTAATTTAATTAAAAATGAATTGATAAAAATTAAAATTCTTTAAAAATTGGAACAATTTTCAGTCCGAAAAAATCAACTCAATATATTACAAAAAGTCAACAGGCTCTAAGCCAGCTCCGTAATATTTCTTGCTTTCTTCTAAAAATTCTGATAAAAACTTAGCAGTTTGTTCGCCGTAGAGTTTGTTCGCAATGTTGATTTCCCATCGTCCATCTGGTTCTTGAAGGTGATTCATCAGGTCAGCAAAACTTTGGTGCAACTGGGCGTTCGGAAACTGGTCCAATTTCAAAACTGATTTTATTTCAGCTTCGGTTTTTCCTTTAAAAATTTTTCAACATTATAAGAATGAAGAATAACAAACTTTTTCTTTAATTTAATCATTAAAAATTAATTAATTTTTTCTAAACCTTTGGCTCCGAGCAATGTGATGGCAAGAGCAAAGAGAAGACTGATTGGGGAGAAGAAGACATTTTCATCTGGGTTGGCAGTTGCGAGTTTTTGATACAAATCAACTCCAAACTCAGCGTTTGACGAGCCTAAAGCTTGCAAATCCATTTTTCAATTTGACGTTGAGTGTCTCCGCAGCTTTTAGGACTAAAATTGATATATACATTTTGAAAGTCGAACTACAAATTTCAAGAACTAATGATCTTGCCGTCGACACTTAAAACGTTTAATTTCAACATTCAAATTTTAAAAATTTTTAATAAATATATAAAAATAATTAATTTGCATTAATTACAAGTACTTGGTTTATTATCTAGTCAGTATATTTTTAAACAAAAACGCAATCACGTCTTAAGCGTAATTTTGACTACATTTTACGATATTAGCACAAATGTTGGCCCACCGTTACAATTTCGACTTCTTTGTGGAATTTCTTCTTTGGTCAACGTTAAGGCATTTCAAAATTCTGTCTCTAAGTCAGCGTAGAAACATTTGAAAAATTTAGATTTAGGGCCCCGTCCTGTCAAAGTTTTCTAGATCCGCAACTATTTTAATCAATTTGAATTTTAAAACATTTTGAATTGAATATTCGCATAATCATTAAAATCATTTTTGTAATAAAAAAATCAAAATCTTGTGGTAAATCTTATAAACATGTTTAATAAATTTAAACATTGTGTTTTTGAAAAAGTGATATTTCAAAATTAGTAACGGAATAAAGTTACTAGAAAAGTGATCGGTTTTTTTTGACAGCTTACGAAAATAATAAAGTTGGAGTGCGTTAATGACGATTTGAACTTTTTTATGCAATATTGAGAATTTTTTATATTATTTTGAGAAGAAACGTTTATTGGTCTTATAAATTAGTAAAATTTATGAAAATAAAATGTGATCGTTAAAATTGGAAGTAAATTTCTGTTTATTTCAAAACTGCTTGAATATTTTATGTCTTCGATGAAATTATGCTTAAATTATTATATAATCTTACTATGTGTTCTTGAAATAATATATATCTGTAAAATAATTGATCCAAATAATAATATTATTTTATACCAAATGTTAAATAAAAATTCACTTGTTATAACTACTAATAAATTAATTTGCCGACGGTTAAAAATTACTTAATTAATTTCTTTTCCATGTAGCATCTTCATTTTATTTATACGTGCCTATAGTTGTTATGCTACTGGCAGCAGAACCATCCTGATTTAAAAAAAAAATCTTGAATTGGTTAATTAATTGCGCAATAAATTGGTATATAAATTACAATGAGTCAGTAATTATGGTGGTTCTGTTAATAAATTAATGCATTATACAATATATTAAAGATTCTAAAATTTATATCAATATTTATATTTGGAAAATATTTTATTTTCACATATAAACATTTTGTTGACCACTTTTTGTATAACAAAGAATAGTAATTTATATTCAAATAGTGGTTGAATACTTTTAAAGTTTTAGTCTAATTAAATTAAGAGTTATATCGCAAATGCTATCAATCGAAAATGAGCAAACTTCAATAAAATTTCTATGAAAAACAACGAATATGTTTTCAAATTTGTTGAAAGCATTTTTGTTTTTGAGAATTCTACTTATTCCATTATTGGAAATTCAAATATTTAGCATGGTGTATGAAGAAAGGAACTTATGGAGGTTTATTTATTTGTCATTTTGTTGCAGGTTCTATTTATCTCTTCAAGATTCAACATTTTCCAAAATATAAAAAGCGTGAAGGTGAGGATTTGTTTTTAACTCCCAATCAGGTGAGACTACAAAATTTGGAGTTTCACAATTTTTTAATTTTTTCTTAATTTGGTATGAATACGAAAATAATGATAAACCTTTGATCACGGCATTATGTTGACGGATTTTTTAGGTAAACGTTCATAGCAATAATGCTTGTTCATTATTGGGAATTTTATTTTTAAAAAATCGGTAAACCACCGTTTTCAAACTTAAATACACGCCTTTGCGTCCAATCCAATTTAATTAACTTATTGACTAATGTTTTAATAGCAGTAAAAACAGAACAATAATAAAATGTACTAATTCATGTTCTGTAAAAACATTACATTTTAAGAAATTACAACTTCGATACTTTCCCCAAAAACAAAATTGATCCAGATTTGTTGTCCTTGATGTAAAATACGAACGGATGATCGGCTTTGAAGTCAACAGGCTGTCTGAATATGGGAGCACTTTTCAAGGTAATGACAACAGCAGTTGCAGCGGCTGCCTCGGAACCTTCCTCATCAACACTGATGAAAGCTTTGTGCAGCAAGTGAGACACGTACAAATCTTTCTCTCCATTCATTCCAGACAAGTCAGCAGCTTTCATTGAAAACAAATCAGTTATACCCATACGTTTCAGACTTTCCTTTACGTTTGATTCCTTTTCAATTTTAAATTTCGGTAACCAAACATTTACAGTTTCTCTGAACAGACTTTCTTCAATAGTAGTAAAAACTTCCTTACTTAGCCTTTGTTCAACGACCTCCAAACTAGTTTTTTGTAAATCGGGTAAAATAACAACGAAGCTTTGTGAATTTCCTTCATATGGGAGCTCCAAGACCTGACTGTTCAAGTCTTCGGAATAGAAGTAGCCGGTTGACAGTCGGTTCAGATACATGAATGGAACATCTGATAATGTTTTGGAAGCAGTCATGAAACTTCCAACTTTTGTGTTACCTTTTCTGAATTGATTTTTCCAGGCACCTTTGTAGTAAATTGCGTTGACGACGACAAGTCTTGTCAATGCGTTCAAAACGTTGCGAGGAATCAAATTTTTTATTTTGTTTTTCGTTTGCCTTTCCACCCACTCGTTGATCAGTGAGGTTACTTTATCTGAACTGCCACTGAAAAGGAATTAAACCATATGCAATTTCTTTTTGTTTAAAAAGTTCCATTTATTCATATCAAAAATTTATATCATTGAAATTAAAGTTTTTGATTTATCAAATTATTAAATTTTGATTCATCCACAAAATAGATGAATAAATTATATTTAAGCTTACACGAAATCGACGGGTTCCAATCCAGCTCCGTAAAATTTCTTGCTGTCTTCGACGAATTCTGATAAAAATTTGGCAGTTTGCTCTCCGTACAGCTTGTTGGCAATGTTCAGTTCCCACTTTCCGTTTGGAGTTTGAAAATGATTCATCAAGTCAGCAAAACCTTGGTGTAACTGTCCATTTGGAATGTGTTCCAAATTCAAAACTGATTTTATTTGAGCTTCAGTTTTTTCTACAAAAATTTTTTGGGTTAATAGAATTAGTTAACGATGTTTATAATGTGATAACTTTCCATAAACGTCAAAGTAAAAAATACCTTTGGCTCCGAGTAACGTTATGGCGAGAGCAAAAAGTAAGCTGATTGGGGAGAAGAAAAGATTCTCGCCAGGGTTCTCTGATGAAAGTTTCTTGTACAAGTCGACACCGAAAGCGGCGTTTGATGACCCCAATGTTTGCAGGTCCATGGTTTCTATTGGCGAATTTAGTCGATTTGGTGACAGCTAAACACAGCTTTATAGGCGATTTGCGAGAAAAATTAACGTTTGAAACGTTTTTGAACTCAGCACCACTTGAAAATTAATATGTGTGTTTGAAACGATGTGAACAAATTTAAAAAGCTAGTTTACATAAATTCAAAGTGGTTTGAACTATTTGAACACGGTATTTGCAATGGAGCGCGTGATGTTTTGCACGTAATCATTACAGATTTTTGTATTAAATCCATGTTCAATATTTTATAAGTACTCTGAAACTCTTACCGATTAATTTTAGGCGTTGATGAATTTCATTATGCTATTATATATATATGTTTTCCATGTGAAACAATCTATTTCATATTAACTTCAGCTTTTATTTTTAAATTTTCATGATTTGATAAATTTAGCAACTATTCAAAATGATAAAGTGAAACTTTTTTAAATCTCTTCTTATGAATATATAAACAGTTAAACACTTTTGTGAAAAATATCGTTTTAACTAAAATCTTGAAAATTTTCAAAGCCATATCAAAAGCTTGATTCGAATAATTTGAAGGGTTTTGAATGAAGTTATTTATAACCTACCGTATTGATGTCAGTTATTTAAAGTTGACGTTGAAATGGTATCGTATTTGCAAGACATCAATAACAACGTTTGAACGTTCTAAATTTGTAACCCTATCTTATAAACCAAGTTTACCGACACCGACTATAAAATTTAAACTGGGCTTCAATATGGTTTCTAACTGTAGACTCCAATTTAAAGTCATTACATACATATGAAGTTTTTCGTTCGAGGTGTATTTGAATTTTAAGATTGTGGATCACTTAATTTATTCATCTTGGAGCAATTTTAATCGGCAGATTCAAACTTTTGCATTCCGAACGTATGTACCCAGAATTTTTTCACTCGCATTTTGCTATATGTTCTGTCATTTATTTGTTTAATCAATGTTCTGTGCTAGAAATCTGACAAACAAGAATTGACTTCCGTGTGACAATTTTATTTTTTCAAACATTAAGCTATCAAAAAAAGAATTCAACTGTAATTATTTTTCAAAAAAATGACGGAAACTAATTATGATCCGATGGAATACCATAGTTGTGTGAATAGCGCAAACATTCTAGAAAACACAAAGCGTCAAAATTGAGTTTCTATTTTTCTTTATTTTCGTGACCTTGATAATGTCCTCTAGTTTGTCAAACACATCAGAATTCTTATGAACAGTCTTCTGAAGTTCCCGCAATATCTCTTTAAAATTACTTCTGAACTGTCAAATTAAGCAAAAAGATGAATTAACTTTAAATAGTAATTCGTTCAGGATTGAAAAAAAACTAATTTAAAACTAAACTCACCAAAACAGGCAAATCTATGCAAATTTTGAGAATTATTTTATTTCGTCTATCATTCATTATTACTGAGTAGCTGCTATCTGATATGCCTTCTATTTTGAGATTGAACAATTGCTTCAGAGTTTTCTTCGCATCTTTATACCCCGATTTATATTTGTTGTAAGCTTCCGCGCTTGCCTGCACCTGTTTAATAATTTGAGTTTATATTATTTCACTAGCGGAAATATTTATTTTGTTATTTAAATTATATTTTTCGCAAAAACTTACCATTTCTTTGATAATGTCAATGATCTCGTCAAAGTTTGTTGACTCTGAATTTAAGAAGTTGGTCACGTTCTTTTAGAAATCTTTGGAAAATCTTTCAATTTCCTTAATGTTCTGAAAAAGGTTCCCTTGCCAGTATCTTGGAAAGCGCCCGCTTTTACGGCCAAATTACATTCCTGAAACAGACGGCCAGCCGTTTTTTGTAGGTTGTTTCCAAAAATACATTTTTCCTAATTAGTTTGTTTGAATCATAGTCCAAATTGAACTTGTTCTCATGATAATAGTAGTGGAATGAGTGATGGAGAAAGTTGTGCTGCTCCAGTGCATTCAAATTTTCATTCCAGCAACATTCAGAAATTTTGTCAAGGTCCTCAGCCTCACTTCCATAAGCTGCATCGTAATGACGCTCAACAAAATCGTGAAATTTTTCAACAATCCTATTTTTCTTTCCACTCTCTCTCTTTAGGTCGTCGTTTTGGTCTCCAACACGTAAATTTTCATCATCATCGGTATGAATGTCATTATTAGACGTTAAAAATGAGTAAAAAGATAAAGCGTTTTCATACATCGTTTCATCGATTGTGTTATAATTTGAATCATTATCCTGAGAATCATGCGGACTAAGTGATTCTGGATTACTTTTTTTCGAATCGTCAGGATATGAAAACTCGTGACTTGAACCAGCACATCCGTGAACAGAAATCCGTATTGGATCATTTTTAGTTCTGTTAATGTCCCCTGAAACGTCTTTAATTTCGGTTGGTCTCAACATTTTTCGAGAATATTTTATTGTTTGAAGTTAAGAAAAACTATGCCAATGTATAGAAAACTTCAACAATTTTTGATGTTTAGTCATGGTCCTGTCATCTTCTATTTATACTTCCTTGAGTTTGTTATAATAAAAACTTAATAATTTACAAGACGATTCTTTGTTGCAATCACAAGTCAAACAATTTATTATCAAAAACTAATAAAAGAAAACTAAGAAATTAACTTACTATATGAATTTACAAGCGCAATTTTTAACAAAATAATAAACGTTCAATAATAAAATGTACGTTTGATAATTTTTATTGAACACTTTTTACATCGTTATATCATTCCGATTTTATTTACAAGTTATTAAAAATAGTTTGAAGGTCTATTTCATTAGACTCTTCCTAGGATTAGAAGAATGGACAACACACAAATATCGTGTATGAGTCTTAAACGACGCTCACAAACGAAGCATGTGATGGGTGAGGAACTTCTTGTCTTATTCAAACCCAGTCACTGCAAGCAATGGGACCAGGCGACATTGACCACTAGGTCATCTCACCGTCTAAGCACCTTGCACAAGCTCAGAACTTATTGTTTACGTGTTTAACATTTCTCAATCGAATAATTTTTAAATAAACACATTTTCTTACTGAATATTTTAAAATATTATTAATTTTTTACATGTGCACAGAAATAAATTTGAAATATTAACATTAAACACAATAATTAAACAAGACTGTAGAAGTTGGTAGGTCGGAACCAAGTGGAGGCCTATTTACCAGCATACAACACCTTCTTATGGGTTGAAGCAGGGATATGCAAAGAACCTCAATTTTTTCAACTTTTAATTATTTTCAGTAATGTCTCCCCTTGCTCCAAAACACATAACTATAATAATAGGACTAATCGATCAATTCGATCTATCGGTCGGGCTATTTGTCGTGCTTGGATTGTTGGCTTACGAAATTGTACGGATTTTAACGAGCAAGCTAAATGAAATATTTACTTGATTTAATATGCTTAAAACACTGTAGTAATTCTATTTAATTTTAATAATGATTTAATAGAATTATGTATTATTAAATTATTATTGTTAATTTGAATATAAAAATTGCTTTTGGTCCGGTGAAATCCGGTGGCTTACTGAAGCCGAAGGTTGGCTTAGTAGGATTGAACTATAGTCACCCTTTTTTTTACACTATTCGATCATGTTAAAAACTGGTTTGCTTATGAAATAAACGGCCTAAATAAATCAAAATTGTTATTTGAACAACTATCTTCATTATATTCAATGAATATTTTACATTCTGTTGGTGCTCATAAGAAACTGGCTGCTGAAATCATACGTTGGCTTACAGCAGTGGCTTACAGGGTTTCATAGAACTCATACGATAGCACTTTTTTGTACATATAATGCTTTAAGTAAATCAATATATTCACATCACAATTATTTTTGTCAGTAAAAATATAGAAATTGCTTTTGTCAGGTGAAAAACAGTGGCTTACTGAAGCCGTAGGTTGGCTTAATCGGATTTTTTCTCATGTATACAATACTATGAGATAAATCAATCAAACAATCAGTCAGTCGGTCGGTCGGTCAGTCAGTCAGTCAGCCAGCGAGCCAGCCAGCCAGTCAGTCAGTCAGTCAGTCAATCAACCAACCAATCAATCAACCGATCAATCAATCAACTAAATTGAATGAGCCAAATAAACAAAAATAAAAACAAAAATAAATAAAAAAAAATTGCAAGGCCTGTTCAAACTCGAACAAACAGTCAACCGTACAGATCTACAAACAATTTCGAGATTTTAGTAAAGAAAGAAAAACACAGTAGTTGCTTTTATTTGAATTCATTCAAAAATGAAAAGTGACGGTTAATTAAAATTTTAAAATGTCAATTTTTTTTAAATTCGTATTTTAAATAAACAAATATAACAAAATATCGACCGATAAAAATAATTATTATCCATTATTATTATTATTATACACACTCCTTAGAAGTTCTCGAAGGATAATAAATCACGTAACATGAACATTTAGTAAGAACAGTTCACAACATATCATAATGACTAAATCAACATACTAAACATAAATAATTTATACATGCATATATACAAAGTAAATCAAGAAATATTCAAAAATTATATAACCAATTTAAAAAAAAAGCTAGAAACCAGTCAACATTTAATGAATAAATAGACATTATTAAAAAGATTGTTCAAAAAGGTACAATTTAAGGCGACGACGAGAATGAAATGTAGTTTGTTTTGTTGGTGTGGTGTTGTGAAGCGAAAACAAACACATCACACAAAACTAGTAAGAAGTCGCAAGAATAATAGTCAGTCACCTACCTATAATAAAATTACTCTCAGGGCCCTAGCTTACTTACAAACATTGACTCAACTCACTTACCCACAAATTTATATTTCTCGTTTTAGATGTTTCAAGTATTTTATTTAACGAATTTTAGCGTTTTTATTTTACTTGAAGCTTTTTAACTAATGTTAAGCCCTAGCCTACCTACAATTGTTTAACTCATCTCAGTCCCTAACTTACCTATGAATTAAATTAAAGCCCGGTTCACGGTAAAGAAAATATAAAGTTGAAGAGAAACATAGCAACAACGACACCGAATGAATGGATGTTGTGTATGTATGTGTTGTATTGATGTGTGTGTATGTAAATGTGCGGGCGCGCACTCTCCAGAAACTTCACTCACTACCGACGAACCTCCATTGCACCGACTATCATCTGACACGCATCGATGGAATGAATTTGACCGGATACTGAAAAATAAATTGAAAAAAAATTCACTAAAATAAAAAACAAGCAATTGGAAAAAATAGGCAACTTATCTTTTTGAGATAACACTCAATCTTTGTTCAAATTCGAGTACTTTCAAAGGTACAATGAGACAAAAACAAATTTACCTTTAACATTATCTTCGATTTGTCATCGGAACGGTCATCATGAGACCACCATCTGAAACGTGCTGACGCCCACCACAGCCCACCTCTCATCATTCTGTAGACAAGTCTTTATTAATTAGCGAAGTAGTAAATCAAGAAACAAAGAAACGAACGAATAAATGATTAACTGAATGATTGAACGATTGGTTGAATGAATTAATTAACTAATTAATTAATCAACCAATGATTTAATGAATGAATAGAATGAATCAATGAATAAATTAACTGAGGAATAATTTGAAAGATAGTGATAAAATGAATGAATGAATAAGAAAAATAAAAAAAAGAAACTAAATCATACTTCAAAAACCGTCGTTGTTGTTATCTTCGAATTGTCATCGGAACGATCATCATGAGACCTCCATCTGAAACGTGCTGATGCCCACCACAGCCCACCTCTCATCATTCTGTAGACATTTTTTAATAGCGTATTAGTAAATCAAGGAACAAAGGAACGATCGAATAAATGATTAACTGAATGATTGAATAATTGGCTGAATGAATGAGTGAATGAATTAATTAATTTATAAATCAATGATTCAATTAATGAACAGAATGAATTAACGAATCAACTAATAGAAGAATAATTTAAAAGGTTGAGTGATAAAATGAACGAATGAGAAAAATAAAAAACGAAACTAAACCTTACTTCAAAAATCGTCGTTACTGTACTTTCCATTGCACCGACCACCACCATCTGGTCGGCACACAAAATACCATCCAAACTTCAGAGTGTCAGTCGAACAGCCAACGAGCTGATTCTTCCTACACCACCATCATCATATGTAAATCATCATGAGACCACCATCTAAAACGTGCTGACTCCCACCACTGCCCACCTCTCATCATTCTGTAAACAAAATTTTTTTATTTGCGTAGTAGTAAATGAATGTTAGAATCTTAGAAGCAAAAAAAATTAAATTATAAAATGAAAATAATGTCAAATAAATAAAATTTTTAAAATAATAAAGTAAGTAAAATGTAAAAAAACTTACCGTCGTCTATTCGACAAAGGCAGAATGTTGAATGCGGTTCGGTTCCTACGTTGTCCTCCAAAACTGGTGCCAGTCCTCCTCGAGGTTGTTGTTGAAAGACAGCCCGTTTTGATGGAGACAGATAGAGAAAGAGTAGATTCTCATCAGAAAGCTTAGCGGTGCCTGCATCTCAAATTGCTTAATAAAAATAATCCTATTCAATTACCTATTCAATTACCTTAACTAATCTATATTATATTGTTAATGGTACGATAGTCGAAAGTCCCCTTTCATTCTTCCTCCTTGCACAGAGGTTCACCGACAGCCAGGGCACCAGATAGAAAACCATTGCCGTGCGGATAGTAGACTATTGCCGTGCGGATAGTAAACCATTTGCCGTCCGGAAGCCGTGCGGGTAGTAGACTATGGCCGTGCCGCATAGTAAATCATTACCGTGCAGATAGTAAACCATTGCCGTCCGGATAGTAAACCATTGCCGGTACACCACTGGCCACCAAGGCTTACCTCTGACAACAGACTTCGAAATTCAGAGTCTATCGGCTATCGTACCCTCAACTTACCTATTCATTACAATTAAGCCCTAGCTTACCTAAAATTACAAAAAAACTCAAGAGCCCAATTCATTTGCCAATCGGCACCCACCCCACCACCTACGTAATGCCTTGGGCTCCAACTTAGTAATAATATAAAACTTAAACCCTAAATCTATTAATGAGTGTGTGTTACAACGTAGCCTTAACTTACCTATTCATTACATTATGGCCCTAGCTTACCTAAAATTACAAAACTCAAGAGCCCAATTCATTGGCCTTTCGGCACCCACCCCACCACCTACGTAATGCCTTGGGCTCCAACCTAATAATAATAATGTAAAACTTAACAACTAACTTACCTCTCGATACACTTACAGCGTTTATTTAATTTAAATTACAAGATTGTTCCTAGAATTAAATTATTGCTTTTAGCTACCTATGAAATTAAATTACTCTCAACCTTAGTAATAATAAATTAAAATGTGTAATGAAAATTAAATAACGCTCAAATACTAATGTGTTTATATATGTATTTGTGTGTGTGTGTGTGTATAATACGCTGATGCGTGTAATGTGGGTGCGAGAAAAAATAGAAGAGATAAACATACGCTGCCTACCTATTCAACTACATTAGTGTTGGATGCTTCCTATCTATCCTACCTACAATTAAAATTATGCCTATCTAACCTACCTATATAGCAACTTAATGTAATTGTGTTTATGTGCGTGTGCGTGTGAGCATTTTTACTTAATGTTAAATTACAGAGAAAAACAGAGAAAAAAGAATAAAACGTATCCCAGCCAAGCATATCTTCTTTGCCACTGAATGAACGAACGTAGCCTGACATTTTCCACGATGAATTCTTTTGGAAGCTTCAACCTGAGTAAAAAGGATGAAATAGAAAAATCTTATTTATTTGACTAATTTAAATGAAAATAGAAAAACGAGCCGCGCTGGAACCCGTCGGAAAAGCCAGCCAACTGGCAAAAAAAATAACCGCAAAGAAACCGTAAAACGTACCCCAGCAGAGCGTGCATTCTTTGCCACCGAATGAACGAACGTAGCGTGACATCACAACCATTCTGATCGTCCACGACGAGCTCCTCTGAAAGCTTCAACCTGGATAAATGAACCTAAAAAACCTAAAAGAATGGTAAAATCTTATTTATTCAATTTAAATGAAAATAACCGCAAAGAAACCGACCGGTCGGCAAAGAAAAGAGAAAAGAAGAGCAAAGAAAGGTATCTATATAGAAATTATGCTCTATATAACTCTATATAACTCTATATAATTCTATATAACTCTATATAACCATGCATACTACCACATTCAATCAATAAAAATCCCACTAAAACCTGGAACCACCGCGTACCTGCTGAATGTATGATGTGAAACAAAAAAAAAACACAAAACAAAAATCACACCATCAAGTAAAGTAAAAGAATAGGAGTCCCTAACCTACCTATGTAACTAAATTACCTTATGCCCTGGCCTACCTGTATAATAAATTAATTTTTACCTCACCTACCTATGCTTCATTAACTTAACTCAAGACTCATGAAGAAAGAGAAAAAAGAGTAAAACAGAACATAAAATGCTACCACACAAACAAACATGATATATGTATGTATGTGTGAGCAACCGTTAAAGAACCCACCTAAAATTAAAAAAATACCACCTACAATCATTTAAACCACCTACAAGCATGCAAACTCTATATAACTCTATATAACACTATATAACTCTATATAACTCCATATAACTCCATATAACTCTATATAACTCTATATAACTCTATATAATAAAATAAATAAAAATAAAAAAATTTTAAAAATAAAATAAATGAGATCAGACAGACTGCTTCATGCAAAGCAGAATGCTGATCTGATTTTCATGTTGTCTCAGCTCCTCTATTTATACTCGTTTCTACCATACATTCTCATCATTTCAATCATTCGCATCAGTAAAAAAACTTGTTTAATGTATATGCTGCACTATTATACAGTCTTAACCACAATGCTAACCGTACTAAATTGAAGTCATCGAACGAACGCCTTCGAAACTTTCTGGTTGGCTGGTTGAATCTGCTATATTGCTTTTCATATAAACATATAATATAATATAACTTAATTATTTGTATACATGGATTCCAGTCACTTTATATATATATAATAAAAATTCATTATAAAAGCAACAGTAATCAGTGCTATATATGTAAGCACGCAGTTCAAATTTTTCGGGGAGAATTCAAAATTGTTTGAGACCACACCTTGCTTAACATCCGATTACAAGCCGATCCAAGCCAAGCTGAGCCAATATGCATAGATTTAAAAGCGCTTTTATGTTAATATTTTGCTCGCTATATTTATATATTTTATAAATTCATTATAAAAACAACAGTAATCATTGCTATATATGTACGCACGCAGCTCAAATTTTTCGGGGAGAATTCAAAATATTTTAAAACCACACCTTGCTTAACATCCGATTCCAAGCCGAGCCAAGCCAAGCTGAGCCAATATGCATAGATTTATAAGCGCTTTTATATTAAAATTTTGCTCGCTTTTTAAACGAATATCCCAATATAACAAATTCTCCATCCTATTTTAACTTTCAAAAAAAAAATAAAAAATCACCCTCCAATTTTCCTCCGGAAGTAAGCTCCTTGTTCGACCGTCAAAAATGAGCGAAGGCCGTTATATTTATTCTAATTATATGGTCGGAACACATTGGTCGGACTCGAAATAACTGATCAAAACTTTTACCCGTAAATAATGCATTTCTTCGAAATGATAATTTATGCAATTATGGTTACAGATTGTGAAATGATCAAATCAAACACGTTTTTGTTAAGATTGGGTTATTTAATTTATTGTTGAAAATTTGTTAAAATTGTTGAAAGGTTAACGACAAAGATACATCATACGAGTGTGTAAATTAATGCAAATTAAAACTTTAAAAAATCTTTTTATTTCATAACACCTGGTCTACAGTCATGGCCATTAAATAGTCTTAGTTAAACTATAACAACCATTTTGCAACTAAAAATAAATAGTTTAACGTAAATGTTCAAACTTATTTTTGATAACCATTAACTGAACTAAAAAAATATAGTTTAAACTATTCCAAAACGATCTGAGCGATCCCATCGTGTTCACATCCTGTACAAGTTATCTACTTCTGCAGCAAGTGGTGCACCACAGTGAGAGTCCTATGGCCGACTCTGTTTCTCATTTTCATCAACAAAAACTGTTTCAATGTACTTTTTGCCAATGCGTCAAATTATATGCTCGTTCATTTAATTCAACTCAGCTTCAACCAGCAATCAAAAACATCGTGGCATGGTGTATCAAATGACAAAGAGCACTATCTTCCATGAAGTGCTCTACATGCTCACTCATTCCATCATCTATAAACACTACGTTGGCCAAACAATTCATGAATGACCACTATGTTTCAACTCTTGCTGATATGCTGACTGCTTCATAGACCTCGGTGTACTAATCGACAATCGACTTCACTTCAATCAAGGCATCAGGCAAGCAAATGGCTTCAACTCGTGCTCTTCTCCTCGTTAAATGTTTTACTTCTAGGGACAAAGAACTACTCCTAATAAACTTTTTGTGAATGTTAGCCCTCTCTTAAAATATTGTTCACCTGACTGGAATCCCCATTACAATTATTAATTAGCCGGGCCGAGAGCGAAGGTGTTCAAAGAAGATTCACCAAAGTTATTTCGTCAGACAGCGAAAAACTACATCAGCGACAATACAATAAAATATTTTTTGTAACAGAATTCTTAAAATATGAACTGCGCTACCAGAGAAAGTTGTTTCGTCTGCCACATTTAAAGAGCTCCAAGCGGTTTGGAAAAATCTTCTCTACTTGGGACTCTACAACCTACCCGCTATTGAATTGATAGATTTTATGTGTATAAAACAATGTGGTAGCACTAATTTTAATTAAGTCTTCTTCTCTGTTTATGCATATCAACAATGTGTTAAATTTGTACGATTTGATCTTTTTGTCCAGTTTGCTTGTATTTTATTTTTTATTTTTCTTATCACATTTCAATAGTCATAAGTACCGAGTATCTCTTTATAATTCATTAATTTCATTTATTGTTATTGATACCAGACATTATTATTTATATTTTAAAATTATATAATGGTTTTATCGACTGTGTATAAACTGCTTGTATGTTGAAATCAATAAGGATTTTGACTGAATGATGATGTCAATGTCAAATTATATATTTTTTCAACTTTTGGTATTTGTTGAGGTTTTGGACTGAGGTTCAAACATTCACCGATGCTATACGTTCTTATATTTTTGTTTTACTGGATTGTTATGTGATGTCGAAGTTGTTTTTTATGTTTAATGTTGCTTTATTTTTTCTGTTCTACCATTATTTTTATGTTTATTTGAAATTGTTCATTTGTCCCGACTGGGTGAAAGTCATATTAATGTTGCGCTAAATAAATAAATAAAACCCTTCTGCAAATTTTTCTATATTTATTTCTTGACAGACAAAATCCTAAATTACATTAATGCCGTAACATTGGAGCCATGTCTTCGCTTGTCAACACATTACTTTGGAATAAATCTCAGAAGTATATTTAAATTCCAAAGAAAGTAAAAAATGAGGCCTTACAAGCAGTTAATGCTAAAAAAGTCAGTTATTATCTATCAGTGAAAAATTCGCTAATTTAAACCACTATAAACAATTTTATAATAATAGGGTTTCTATAACGAGTTCACATCTGCCGAAATGCAAAAATAGATTTCCTTCTTGATTTCTTAACGCTTGTTGATTTCTTCACAGTTTTGATGATGTCATCAAATTTGACGTCATGAGAGGAACTTTTGTGTAGAGTCTTTTGAAACACCGACAAGTTTTTCTTCCAGCTGGACCAATGCTGTTGAATTAAAATTAAGTTATTAGCCAATATTACATTTTAAATGACATCGCTAGAAAGAATTGTTTATTGAATGGACTTACCTGGATAGGTAAGGTGATATATCGTTTGATGTGCTCCCTGTTTTTTCCACTGTCCAGCATTTTCACGTAACAGTTTTCTGATATTCCATCAATTTGGAACTTGAACAGTTGCTTCAAAACTTTTTTTGCCTCCTCGTAACCTAATGTGTACTTGTCGTAAATTTCTGCCCCGATTGAGACCTGGTGTATTGGACGAAAATTTCAAATTTAATTGTTTGCAATATTTGAAGAAATTCAAAATAAATTGGTAGCATTTGAGGTTAATTTAAATTTGATGTATTAAAATATTTTTAATGCAAATGACAACAACTAACCATTTCTTCAAAGTTTTCTAAGATACTCATCAAGCAACGGGTATTCGAATGTAAAGTGCTCTCCATATTTTTCAGAAAATGTTCTGACATGGTAGGGAAATTGGATATATTTTGAAATATTCTTCTATGCACAACGTCAGGAAGCAGTTTCTTGTAAGGTTTGGAGTACTGGTTCGCATAGGACTTCATCTTTTTCTTGTACGAAACTTCTTGGTCCATCAATTTGTGGATCAACTTCTGTTGCTCTCTGGTTGGTTGGATTTTGTTGTTGTGATGATAATAATGGAAATAATGGTGGTGGTGTAGATGGATTTTAAAGTCCCAGTAACTTTTATTACTTTCTACATATTCACATAAAAAGTTGTTTGCTGAAGTTTCGTCATCATCCACCTTTCCGTCATCTAATTGTTGGTGATTAATATCTCCTTCACGAGTTGAGTTTAATGAAATTTCTTCGTATATTAAATTTATGCAGCTATTAGCATGAGAACCAACTTCCATTGAGTGAGTATTTTGAAGACATTCGCAATTCACATCAGCTCGAGAAAAGTTGTTTGATGCTTTCAAATCTGGAACTTCTTTGTTGGAGTTTGCATGCTCGTCGGCAGTTCTTTTTGAGACAGATGAGTCACCTATTTGTTTTCTCATATTGATCTTGTGAAGTCTAAATGACTATTCATACGACTTAATAAAATGTTAAAAAAATTTAGTAGATTCCAACGATAAGACCATTTATTTATACTTCCAGACTTGTACTTGTTTACAACAATAAAAATAAATAGCTTCATTAATTTTAATATTTCTTTGTTTCATGGTCGTAATGGTAACTGTTGAAATTATTAGTTTATACAAGCCTCATAAAGACAGATTGTAAATTTATTACAAGCTGATATGTTGGCTACAATTAATAATTGATGCTGTTTTTATTACATCATTGTAACAAATTTTCATTTAATACATTAGCCCAGGTATCTGAAGCGCTCAGGGTAGGCTGCCGTCAGAATCAGAACCGTGAAACCAAAACAGGCTTCAAATGCTTTTTGACTATTAAAGGTAAATGTTTTTTTTCAATCACTGATGTGTTTAATTGTATAGTGTTTGCTTAACAACTTTTTTAATCTACAGTGTTCTACAAAAATGTTTGTCATCACGATACCAACAGTTATTAGAAAAATTTAAAGAGAATTAGTGATTGGCTGATTGATCATTTTTAATTTTGCATCTATTTAAGGTTGCGTTTGCTTTGATTTTGCTGTTGGTTCATTTAATATGGACGCATTCCAATTTAATGGTATTGTATTATTAAGCAAAAAATGGTATTAGTTACGGTTTTACAGAATTGTTAAAATCATTTATTAAATTATTGAATGACACGACACTTTGTTACAATAACGTAATAAAATTGATTAATAATCATTTTAAAGAAATCACACCAATGAAAAATAAAGTTGTAGTTCGGGTAAAAATATTTTGCGAAAACATTTAATAATAGTTTTTAATGCAGTCAATGGAGAATGTAAGAAGATTTCAGATTTAGCAGGATGGATTAAAATTTAGAACGTTTAAACTTTTTAATTGATATCATGCTAATGCTTCAACCTTAAGTAACTGTCATTGATGCAGCTATAAATATCAAACTCTTTAAATTATTCAAATCATGTTTTAGAGATATTTTCAATTTTCAAAATTTCAGTTGAAAATTCTTTCTGACAAAATATTCTCAAACTATTTATAAACATTCATTAGAAGACATTCGAAATAAAAATTTAAATCTATTTTTTTTAAACAGTTGCTAAATTTATCAATTCAGAGAAATTTAAAAAAATATGAAAGGTGACATATGTACAGCGATATTTCTTCTGAATCTTCACGGGGAAGTGTGTCTGAAAGAGTGAAAAATTTGTTTAAATTTATAGACATTTAAAATTGATCGACTTAAAAACAAAAAACATGGATCGCTGAGCAATTCCGAGTAAACAATTTGATTATATCAAACAAATAAACTGCAACGTCTACATCAGACGTGCGATGATTCGTGCTAAACATCACGTGCTCCATTGAGAATAATTTTAAAGTACTTAGAATTTTATGTGAATTAATACTTCAAAGTTGTTCACAACTTTCAAACAAGCAAATTTGCATAAAACTTGTGTGGCGGCAAGTTCAGTAACGTTTTCAACGTTTCAAACGTTATTTTTTTGCAAATCGCCTATAAAGCTGTGTTTAGCTGTCAGCAAATCGACGACACTCGCCAATAGAAACCATGGACCTGCAAACATTGGGGTCATCAAACGCCGCTTTCGGTGTCGACTTGTACCAGAAACTTTCATCGGAGAACCCTGGCGAGAATCTTTTCTTCTCCCCAATCAGCTTACTTTTTGCTCTCGCCATAACGTTACTCGGAGCCAAAGGTATTTTTTACTTTGACGTTTATGGAAAGTTATCACATTGTAAACATCGTTAACTCATTCTATTAACCCAAAAAATTTTCGTAGAAAAAACTGAAGCTCAAATAAAATCAGTTTTGAATTTGGAACACATTCCAAATGGACAGTTACACCAAGGTTTTGCTGACTTGATGAATCATTTTCAAACTCCAAACGGAAAGTGGGAACTGAACATTGCCAACAAGCTGTACGGAGAGCAAACTGCCAAATTTTTATCAGAATTCGTCGAAGACAGCAAGAAATTTTACGGAGCTGGATTGGAACCCGTCGATTTCGTGTAAGCTTAAATATAATTTATTCATCTATTTTGTGGATGAATCAAAATTTAATAATTTGATAAATCAAAAACTTTAATTTCAATGATATAAATTTTTGATATGAATAAATGGAACTTTTTAAACAAAAAGAAATTGCATATGGTTTAATTCCTTTTCAGTGGCAGTTCAGATAAAGTAACCTCACTGATCAACGAGTGGGTGGAAAGGCAAACGAAAAACAAAATAAAACATTTGATTCCTCGCAACGTTCTGAACGCATTGACAAGACTTGTCGTCGTCAACGCAATTTACTACAAAGGTGCCTGGAAAAATCAATTCAGAAAAGGTAACACAAAAGTTGGAAGTTTCATGACTGCTTCCAAAACATTATCAGATGTTCCATTCATGTATCTGAACCGACTGTCAACCGGCTACTTCTATTCCGACGACTTGAACAGTCAGGTCTTGGAGCTCCCATATGAAGGAAATTCACAAAGCTTCGTTGTTATTTTACCCGATTTACAAAAAACTAGTTTGGAGGTCGTTGAACAAAGGCTAAGTAAGGAAGTTTTTACTACTATTGAAGAAAGTCTGTTCAGAGAAACTGTAAATGTTTGGTTACCGAAATTTAAAATTGAAAAGGAATCAAACGTAAAGGAAAGTCTGAAACGTATGGGTATAACTGATTTGTTTTCAATGAAAGCTGCTGACTTGTCTGGAATGAATGGAGAGAAAGATTTGTACGTGTCTCACTTGCTGCACAAAGCTTTCATCAGTGTTGATGAGGAAGGTTCCGAGGCAGCCGCTGCAACTGCTGTTGTCATTACCTTGAAAAGTGCTCCCATATTCAGACAGCCTGTTGACTTCAAAGCCGATCATCCGTTCGTATTTTACATCAAGGACAACAAATCTGGATCGATTTTGTTTTTGGGAAAAGTATCGAAGTTGTAATTTTTTTAAATGTTATGTTATTACAGAACATGAATTATTAAATTTTATTATTGTTCTATTTTTATTATTAAAAATCTTTTCAAGAGATTATTATTGGCTTATTGACAAATAATAAAATTTTGAATCATCACAAATTATTTTTTCTGGATTTACTGGTTTTAGAAATCTTTCATTATTTACTTCTTGAAAGACGTTGAATAAAAAATTTTCTCGTTTTCAAACGATTTAAAAAAAGTTTGATAACTTTATAAAATTTCAAATTTCTGACGTATTCTAACTGATCGTATCAAACAATCTCTAATAACTCCAATGGACAGAATTTTACAAATTGTAATTTAATTTGGTTGGAGTAGTATATTCGTAGTTTAATTCTATCGTTTTCATTGGTTGCTTGGACATTATTTTTTACGATTTTTTAGAATCATAAAAAATAACGATAGTATTATAGTATTAAACAACGAATATACTCTTACTACCAAAGAACGTCATCTCTCGTGATGAAAAACAACTGCACTAGTAAACTGGACCTGTTGCGATTACCGGCTTTAAAAATTATTTTGTTAAGACTGTTCATGTAACCTTGATGTTTCCAAGCCGTTGGTCTGTCATAAAAAAAAATCGTTTTTGGGGAGGAATTTTCTGAATGCGTTTATCCGGAAAATAGTTACAAAGAACATTTCTCGAATTGTTTACGTAAAGGAAGATATGTTGAAGGAAGATATATAGCCAAAGGCTTGATCTCTTCCAACATCATGTAGGCAAGGAACAGTTTAAACATTTTCAGGTGATGAATTGATGAATAAAATAAATTTTGAAAACTTATATGCGTTTATAGAGAAAAAGTTAAGTTGCTAATCAGGCAAAAATATGAACGCAATGAATAAATGTTGATGCTCGTGAATTATGTTAACGCAGGAAAGCGTTGAAATTTAAAATGTTGTACGATGTTTTCGTTGAGTGACAGACTAAAACATGAGGCGCAATGGCAAATAAAAATGTAAAAGAGGTTTTTAGAACAGACAATTTTGAAAACAGTTAACAAAAAATTAAATGTAAAAATTATTCTGCAATAGTTCTGGTGATTTAAAAGAAAATTCATGTAAAAACCGGGTCGATGACGTTCTCTTCTGTAACTACAGCTCTGTCAGAAGACGTTTGGTCATCTCATCTTAAAATTGCTTCAAGTTACGATTTGATGAAAGACAAAAAAGAAAAGAAATTGAAAAAAAAGTTTAAACAACCAGATGAAAGAAACTATCCAGTTTGCATTATTCTGCTGTATCGATTTAATCGGCATATAATTTTAAAACGTTACCAGTGAAAACATCATGCCAAAAAATATTTGACTGTAAAATAAAAATGAAACGTATGGAAAATTACAAAAAATATACTCACCGATTGAATGGATTTTCCAAAAGCGAACAACGTGCGAACACTACGAAAATCATAGCGTTCATTTTGACGAACATTCAATTGCAAATTTTTCAGCAAGTCCCTATATTTTTTTCTCCTTCTCTGTCATCAAGTTGTACCTCACTCTATTTAAAATGAACTCTGCATGCTACATTCTTGAACTATCCACTGAGATTCACTTCATGACCAAATTAAAAATGACAACCTCACTATCGATGTTTACAACTTCTTCTTCAACTAGCCGTATGAAAGCGTGCTCAGGCTAGGCTGTCACGCTTCTGGTCGCTTTTATAAAAATTTACGAGAAAACGTCTGCGAATACAAATCAGTAGCATGGTTTGCATTTAGATACATTTTAAGACAAGACATTTCATGTTTAATTTTTCGACTGTATTAATTTTTTTTATTTTTAGATGCCTCAAACTAATTTGTTATCACTTTGTTCAACCTTATGTCTATGTAGTTGTGTTTAACTTTTTGGCGTAGGCTTACTGTCGACGGAGCCAGGACAATCAATTCGATAAGTCATAATTTTGAAACAGTCCAACTCTGGCAAATAAGGTACAGCAAATTTCTAAAC